CCCCCACCACACACACACACCCTCTCAGATGTAAACAAACGCCTGTCAGACCATACGCTTTGCATATGCTGAATAAATGTCCTAACGTGTCCGAAGGTGGTTGTCTCAACAGAAAGAAGATTTTGCACAAATTAACAAACAACAGTTTATTAATATAATCAAGGACATTATACAGATACTGATATAACGTTATGCGTATGCGGTATCGACAAGGTAAGGCAAGTTGTCAACATCGTACACACCGTAAAAACTCCCCAGTACCTGCACCTGGGCACCTGTAACACAAGCGGATAGTCTAGTGGAATAGAATGAAGGTAAAGACGTCAGTACAAATTATTTAAGTACCTGGAACCCCGTGACAGATCTGATTAGAGCTCTGGCATCCTTTTCAAACTCTTTCCGCCAAGCCGCCATTTTTCTTCTGGTGCACTATGGGAAGGGACCATCCATTATAAGTTAAGGGTAATGTGCGGTAGGGATCATCCGTTTGACGCACAGAAAGGAGGGACCATCAATTTTATGTCGTATTGAACAGAAGGTCACCGTCGTCATGTCTATTTCGGGAAGGAATATATTTGAATGTAATCGCGGTACAACTTACAAAGTATTCAAAACCAAAAATCTGTTTCGAAGCGGTGCTTTGAAACGGCGCCCTGCGGAGGTCAAATGAACTGCATGTAACTCACCCCGCCGTGTATACGTGTGTGTTTTAACTTTCTGTGTGTGTGTGTGTGTGTGTGTGTCTGTGTGTGAGTGAGTGAGCGTGTCTGTGTGCCGTGTGTGCGTGTGTCATATGTGTCCGTGTGTGTGTGTGTGTGTGTGTGAGTGTGTGTCCGTGTGTGTGTGTGTGTGTGTGTGAGTGTGAGTGTGTGTGTGTGTGTGTGTGTGTGAAATACGGACATACGGAAATCATGCGCACCTCATAGGCAAATGATGCGCTGAATTCGTTAATCATACGTTAGATGTGCGTCAAAGTAATAAAAAAAAACGTGTATGATTGCGTATGAAAAAAAAAAATTCTGTACGCAACTCAAGCACAGTGAGGAAACGCAGAAGTACAGTGACAGGGCCCTAACAACCATTATCATATAGCCAGAAGGCGTCGACCAATCAGAAGGCCCCACTTCCCATTGGTTATCAGGCCGTAACCTCAAAAGTGGTCGGTTATCAGAATAACCGACCACAGTGTGCGGCCAGTTTCATCCTGCGAGTTTTGATCTTCTCTGTAAAGGCTGCACTGCGGCAAATCCTGATATCATCTGCTCGTTGGCTAGTTTTTGTTCCCATGAGATATTCAAACACATACGGAGCATCTTTGTGTAGCAGCTATGTATACTATATTACGCTTCTCAATGGATTTAGGCAGCGTCCAAGCTTCACTACAATACCATGCATTATCATGATTGCAGAAAGGCTTTAATTTATTGCTCATTGCATGGGCCAAGTTTTCAATGAAGATATACATTTCTTGGTGTCTTTCAAGAAACGTTGTTCAGTTTTCTGTATAGGAAACGGACAAATGCAGTGGAAGGAACAAATGTTCGCGTGGGATTCATTTTTTTATATAATGTCAAAAGTAAAAAGCGGCTAGCCTATAAATCAGTAGACGTGTTATGTAATAGAACGAGTCCGAATAATTTTGAGAAAAAAATGAATTATAGTCTATTCTCAGTAGTCCCTCGCTTCGTTCACTGTTGTTGATTTTTTTTATAAGGCTTTCACTGTACATTGTACACAGGTAGCCTACATGTATGTTATAAGCATAAGTCTTGACTGTTTGGATTCAATACAGACATGAAACTATACTAGCTATGCCAAATTAACCCAGTACTTGAAACATAGACTGAGATGTCTCTACTAAAGTCACTGTGATCCAATGTAAGCTAAGAAATTTTAAAGTCATCCCCCTAGCTACTCTCATGCACCAGTAAAATTTATGTTCCACCCTCTGTGGTTTCCATTCCGCATAAATACATTCTCTCCAAGCAGAGGTTTGGGTTTTGGCTTTTCTTTGGCTTGTATTTTTTTATTGGCCTTTTTTGCATCGGCCTGGTATCCTTTTTTACGCCAACCCAACAAAAATATACCAGTGCAAAAAAGGAATCTCGATAAAAAAAGCATAAAAACACACCAAAAATAAGCCCAAACCCAAACCTCCGCTTGTAGAGTAAATATAAACGTTGTCACGTATGAGCGCTCATATGACGTAAGACCGCCGTGCTTGTTCACGCTATATTAGGCTACGTGTATGATATAATATCATGTTGTGAGCTCATAGTTTACCTTCTGCTGCCATGCATCTCATTGCTATTCTTGGTGAGTTATTCCAATCAGAATTGGCTCTCGTCTCGCGCACGTACTTCCCTGACACTGATCACATTAACTCGAGCCGCTGCCGAGCAGTTGACGCATTAGCGCCGCCTTATCAAGTATCCGCACCGGTGTGGAGCCAAATCCGTGAGCTGCCACATACGTGAGAGGTCAGGTGTTTAGGGCTAGGGGTAGGGTTGGTACTAGAGTTAGGGATAGGGTTAGTGCTAGTGTTAGGGTTAGGTTTAGGGTTGGTATTAGTGTAGAGTTAGGGATAGGGTTAGGGTTGGTATTAGAGTTAGGGTTAGGGTTGGTATTAGAGTTAGGGATAGGGTTAGGGTTGGTATTAGAGTTAGGGTTATAGGGCTAGGGTTGGAGTTAGGGTTAGGGCTAGGGTTAGGGTTTGGGTTGGTATTAGAGTTAGGGCTAGGGTTAGGGTTAGGTTTAGGGTTAGCATTAGAGTTAGGGTTATGGGGCTAGGGTTAGAGTTAGAGTTAGGGTTAGGGTTAAGGTTGATATTAGGGTTAGGGTTATGGTTAGGGCTAGGGTTAGGGTTACGGTTAGAGTTAGGGTTAGGGTTGGGATCATTGTTCCGGGCTAGGGTTAGACTTGCGATTGGGGTTAGGCTAGGTTTTAGGGGTCTCCCTTGAAGTTTTTGGGGAGAGGTGCTTCATAATCGGTTGATGAAAAATCAGCGAATTTTGATGAAAATGCTGAGATATAACACTAAATTTGAACATTTTGGGTGAGGGAGCACCCTTGCTTCATTGCTTGGGGAGAGCCCTGGGTTTAGTCTCACATGATCACGACCAAACCCCTCCCACGCCTTGTCTCATATTGTTTCAGGTATACTGGAAACCCCCATGTAGAGTCGTAGTCATGTATTTGGCAGGATCATGTATCTGGCTTGACACCGGGCTCAGCGCCATGGAAACTACCAACGTCAAACGGGCTTCCACCGGGTCAGAACCACGCACGGCATCCGGATGACGCCTGGCAATCCCGCTTCTCAATTAACACATGTGACTCGTGGTGAAATATTCTGCTAACAGTCATCAACAGTGTGATAACTAACATTAGCAACGCTGGAAGTTTATTCTCACGTATCTGAGACAGGTAGGTTTTGACATATATATTTCTTGTGTTATCTATATCGTTTATTGTCGGAAACAAGGGAAATCTGACACTTTGAGATTCAGTATCATCATTTATATTCACATTTGAGTGAATTCTATTTTTGGAAATTTGTAGAACTACTTTCCACTCTCATGTTTACAAGTGGGTGATCCCAGACTAATTGTTGTGAACGATATACATAAACAATACTGTAATTCACTTTATGTTCACAGCAGCAAAATTTCACTGTCTGAGGAAACTATATATTCACGGTGGTGACATGTGCAGGAAAAAGAAAGTCCTGGAATTATCTGTTAACTGTCATGATAAGTTCCCGGTACAGAAGTGACAGTGAAAACAGTGAACATAAAGGTACAGTGAAAAAATCAGGAATTACAGTAACCCGGTGCACTGGAGGTGGCGCGCAGTACAATAGCCAGGTAATGGCACTGTGATTATTGTATAAACTCCAAATACAAGCTGATGTATACGTGCTGTTAGTCCGTTCACTGCCCCTCTTCAAATGCTACAGAATATCTGTTCAAACAAAAATTGAATCAAAGGGCGAGGTTAAACGAATAGCCGGCCCCAGTCTACTGTAAACACACATGTACATGACTTGATTGTATGAAGAGCTACCTATTCTGGCCTCTCTTTCTGACGAAAAGTAGAAATTTGAAAACTGCTAAACTGTTGTTTGTTTTTTCGACAACAGTACGGATGCAAATATCTAAACATTGTTTGAAGGTGAAATACATGCCATTGCCACGAAAATGGCAAAATTTAAAATGAAAAGACTGACTAGAATTTGAAAAATATTCATATAAAATCGTAGTTGTCTGAAAATTATTTGAATATGGAGTGTAAAAATCTCATCATGTCTGGAAACTGGGTTTGCATGCAGCTGTGGTGTGACGATCACACTGACGCGTGGTTTGCCTTTTGCATTCCGCCCTCCCTGTCTAAAAAAGGCTGGAGCCGACTACAGCCCATGTTGCTGTGTGCACACGGCATGAGAAGCTAGTGTCCTGGGGGCAATCACTTGACACGTACAGCCTTTTAGGTTCGGCGATTCCTCTGAACTCTCCAAGATTTATTCTGGCCGCGCACGTCAGTACCGGTGCATATGTTTTTAAATAAATGGAAATGTGCGCTCTCAGTCCCTCTGGGTTTCCGTGCTAGGGGCAACCATTATCATGTTGTACCAATATTGCCTTTTATGTCCATGCACATCTGCGTCATCCACACCCATGTTAGCAAAAAGCCAAGCGAGCGGCTCGCCGTGGGAGACACGCCGAGATAGCTGCTCTTTTCACCGTGTAAATCTTCCTCGGCAAGGCGGAGAAAAACGGTCGTCTTCTCACAAAAGATCGCAGCAGGAACGAGCTACAGGAACGGCGACATCGCTGGACACTTGTCACGGGAAAGGTACGTTATGTAGACGGCGTCGTGCTTTGATTCAACAGTGGTTATGGCCGTGGTGCTGATTCTTGTGCTGTTCTTGCACTGGTTCTGAAATATATTCCGTGCATCACTGGGAGGTAGAGAAGCATGTATCCTACAGATATTTACGATGTACAATCTCGTTCTCAATCAGGGCGTGAATGCAGGTTTTACCAGTTATCCTGAAAGCTGAGTCAGTAATACAACACGCGTGTAGGTAGAAAAGGATGCATTGGTTTGTGTGAATGAACGGTATTTTCTTATCAGATTCAGTTCTTATTGAATATCGACTGGCATGTCACATTAAGTGCATGAAATGTGTCGAGTATTTACAATTTGCGCCCAGTTAATACAAATAGATAGCATAAAATCCTACATATATCTGTATCATTAGCGATAAAATACATCAGAAAAACGAATCACATCAAGAATACAACAACTAAACATTCTAAAATCAGTATGTCTGCATTTTTACGAGTACTGTTAGGTTAGTATGTGAAGACCAGCAGAGAAGAGATGTTTTAGATATGCATTATAACGTTATGAACCATGGCATCAGGACAGAAATGCCAGTTGAATTTGACACAACTCCATGTGTGTGTGTGTGTGTGTGTGTGTGTGTGTGTGTGTGTGTGTTGTGTGTGTGTTTGTGTGTGTGTGTGTGTTTGTGTGTGTGTGTGTGTGTGTGTGTGTGTGTGCGTGCGTGCGTGCGTGCGTGCGTGTGTGTGAGTGTGTGTGTCTAATAATTCCTTCCAGTACACCTTAACAGGTTGTCGGCCATTAATATGACGTTACTTGGACCAACAAGAGGTCAGAGATATCATACCTCCATAAAATATTCAAAGCTTTTGTAAATTTTGATGTTGATTTTGGAAGCAATGTAATAAGTAGCATAATGTATTTTAATTGATAGACTTCTTCAAATAACATATATATTGTATGGGTCAAAGCCGGCAGAGCTTCAAAAATATTTCATCACTAATTATGCAAACTGACCTGCATTTGTATGATCAATGTGTAGTAATGTTCATCGTCAACTAACTTTTCCATCAGTTACCACTGAGGAATCATCATTGTTTTTATATTGAATCTTAAAATTAGGCCCCTGGCTTTTTACATAATATCAATGTTAACCCTACCTAGACCGGGCTTTTTTTGACATGGGGGGACCGGGGGGGGGCTCTTTTGACCCCCCCTAAGAACTCGCGAACGGTATGTCGTATGACCACCAAATTTTCAGAGAATGGTGTACTAGTAAAAATTTATCATATCTACAATTTTTATGTCGTTATGATGTAATATGACGTCATTATGACGTCATTAATGTGATTTTATTGGCCAAAACCGTCTAAATAGGTTTTTCCCTGAAAACTAAATGGTATTCAACATAACTGTACCAAAAGTGTTTATGACAGAATATTATGATGTACTAAGTCTTATGTTGCCCATAGCAACACCGGTGACGTCATACAATGACGTCATGCATATTTAAGATATCCGCCATCTTGGATCATCAATCTTGAATTTTCAAAAATAGTTTTTTTTCATGATAAAGCCTAAAATACATCGTAAACATACTAAAGACCTTCGTTTAAACCTTTTTGGAAAAAGAAATGGAAGTATTGATGAAATTTTAATGAAAATAACCTGTATATACCTGTTCTAATGAAATTGTCCGCCATCTTGGATTTTGGCCAATGACGTCATCAAATTAGCATAAATTATGCATATTTAATGATAAAATTTACATAAAATTATATGGGATGTTATTAATATTAGAAACCATGAGTAACTTGACATAAAACCCATAAAATTCTATTGTTGAAACAAAAAGTACTAAATTTAGCAAAAAATGCCTGTCAGAAACCCGTTGCCATGGCAACACAAAAAATCATTATCTTATTCCAATGATAGAGAATTGTTGCCAACATTATTTTAGGAAAAGTCACCAAGTTTGGCCGTTCTACGGCTAGCCGTTCAGACGCTAGGTGACATCAAAGTTGCCGCGGGCACTTTTAGCCCCCCCCCCCGGTCTAGGTAGGGTTAATTCATTAACTTCTACCATTGATCATTAATCTAACAATTTATTACCTTATGCCTCCATTCTCATACATATTTAGCAATTTATTTAGAATTTTTTGCAATGATGTGTTAAATCTTGTGACAATATTTGATTTAGGTAAGTAGTCCGTCTAACGTAGCTGATTTGACTGGTCTATTTTTTTAATATGTGATTTTTTTCGCGCAATTTACAGTGTACGTGTGTTAATTGAAGTTACGAAATGACCTGTTAATATGATTGTAGTATGAAGTATAAGTGAAACATTAACATGATTCTGTATATGACAGTCGGTGTCACTGGAAAATAGAAGAAAAATTTACAGACTATGCATAATGTGCAAAATGACTAAAAACTTTTAGACGTACAAACTACTCTGTAACTAAATCCAGCTAAAAACAACAAATAGCCATGCCCCCAAGTACCAGAGTTATCAACCAATGATTGAGGTGTTCAAAGACTGATTTTTCCCTGAACTACATGGTATCTAGTACTAGCTTGTACATTAGGGGCTGATACAAAACATCATCACATAAATTATGCAAATTAGGGTATATTTCCACGGTTAATGGAATCCTTTGCCGAGGGTATAAGGTCGGGAACTCATTACATGGTGACGTTTTCCTTGCTATGGAATATTGAATCTGCCTATGCTTTAATTTGTGTGGCACCCCAGGACTTATTTTTTCCTGTATTTTGCCCTCTGGGCATTCGCTATTAAGGCGTGTCATGGCGGGATTTTTCTGTATCTTTGGCCACAGCAAGTAATTTTCATGGATTACATCAGCGCGCGCATTAATTTTCACCTGATTTTGGAAAAGGAAACAAGAAATTTTGTTGCCTTCTGACAGTGGTCAACATGCCGAAAATGGGCAAAGATGTCTGTTGCCATGCCGGAAAGTGGATGGCAGATAACTATGAAAAGAGGAGACAAGATAAGGCTCTGAATTAATGTTTTGTTTCCTACTTTGATGCAGTGATATGTAATGTTGGCTGTGTATATGTGATGTTCCCACTGAATCAAAACCATTTGTACAATGATTGAGTCAAATTTTAAAATGTAGGAACCTGTTTTTTTTCGCCCGCTCGCATTAGATTTGGAGTCTATGGAGGATGTCATCCATAGGATTTACTTGCTGTGGCCTTAGCCTCCGCTTTGTATACATTGCAGCGTAATTGTATTGTATTGGAGATGAGGCTGACACCTGAGCCTTACCACAGCCATCTTTTCCCATCATTGGTGTTGGCGAAACTTGCCCCTTGGGTCTCTTCTAGGTAAACTCGATTCCTCTTTCCATATAGTTACCCTTGCTATTGACTTGGGACACATCTGACAGACACTGTCGAGTCGTCTGTATCTGTGCAGACATGTGACAGACATGGCCGAGTCATCTGTATCTGTGCAGACATGAGACAGACATGACCGAGTTATCTGTACCTGTGCAGACATGAGACAGACATGACCGAGTTATCTGTATCTGTGCAGACATGTGACAGACATGGCCGAGTTATCTGTATCTGTGCAGACATGTGACAGACATGGCCGAGTCATCTGTATCTGTGCAGACATGACCGAGTCATCTGTATCTGTGCAGACATGACCGAGTCATCTGTATCTGTGCAGACATGACCGAGTCATCTGTATCTGTGCAGACATGTGACAGACATGGCCGAGTCATCTGTATCTGTGCAGACATGTGACAGATATGGCCGAGTCATCTGTATCTGTGCAGACATGTCTACAGCAAGAGCCAATAGGCATGCAGCTTTCCTCTATTCTTCTTGCTGATTGGCTGTTGGGACTTAATTAGGTTAACTAGTACTCTGTGAACAGCTTCACCAATCCATACCATATTGAAAGTAGGTACTGTACTGGTACTGTAGGTACTGCTCAAGCATTGGAATGCGGGGCATAAACGATTTTTTTAATCTTGAAAATCAACAGTTTGCATTATGCAAATAAATATCCTGAACAATAATTTAGGGGATAGCTATCCAACTGTTGTATCTTAGTCACTTCATACTATAGTTATATCGATGACAAACACTGTTTTCCCTTGTATTCTCCTTTCTTCCCTGCCATGTCGTAAAATATGGTGAAGCCATGCTGAATTTGCTCTAAACCAAACGTCGGCCTTCCATCATCTGTAGAACGTCCTTGGCCTTTCTAGTTTCAATTGTAAATTCTATGATGGACGCGGATGTGTGTAACAAGATTGTGTCCATAATCGCCTTGTTTGGTTTGGGTGAAGATTATAGAAGTCTTTGATTTATTGATTGCTTGTGATGCCACTGAGCCGGTTGGCTGAAATTAAGGCCTACAGCTTTTCATACAAATTCTTCCGTGGGCGTTGAAGAATAATATCATTAACCCTGTTATTCCTGACGCACGACTACGGCCTTGTTCAGACGGAGTCAGTGAAAGCGCTTTACATGTGGTTTCCCCGAAGCCGGTTTCAAGTGGCTCCATCTGAACGCTCCAAATCACATTGAAAGCGCCTCGATCCCAAACTACCTCTAGAGGTGGATTCGAATCGGTTTTCCCGCATCGCGATTTGCGTCTGAACGCAATGTGATTTCAATGTAACTTCGCCTGGTCATGGATTACGGGGTGATATTTCTTTATTTATATGCAATACCAAAATTTTCAAGGCAGCAACTTCAAGAGCAGTAATGGTCGAATAATGTGTCCGTTCTAGGACAAGCTTCATCGCATCTGGCGGGACCACGTCGGCATTCGGCGGAGGTACGCTGGGAGGTCGTTGACCTCTGACATTAATAATAACACGCTATCTTGCGAGTACGTCGGCAGAACGTACTGCGCCTGCGCAGAACCCTGTATTTTCACGGTTTTCGATGGATTTTTGGTCAACGTTGCATCAGAATTTTGCCTGTTGCAGAGGATATCTTTTCCGACATAACATTT